TACCTCAATTTTAAAGATGGGAAAACTGAGACACAGAGAAGACCAGAGTTGCACAGTGAGCAAGTGACTGAACTGAGATTCAAATCCAGAAAACTGGGATCCCCAATCTGTGCCCTTACCCACGTGATGTACTGCCTTTCAGCAATGTCTATATTCTTTAAGCCACTATACTTGGGGTCACTTTGTTATGACAGCTTAGCATGACCTTAAAAAATATAGAAATTTGAACCCAGAAGTGGAGTTCTAAAAATAACCTTAAATACGTGGTTAAACTAGAGTTGAGGAAACAGATATCACAGGCTGCAAAGCTGGAGACCCTTGTAATGTCATCACAAAAATATTTAATAAAACCATTTCCTGCAGTAACTTGGAATACTGGCCATTTAACAAGAGAGCAACCAGAATGTTGATGTGTGTTGGTTGTTCCTTGATGTTTTTAGTACAGGACATCAAAAAAATTATGTACTCAGGTAAGAATTAGTGGGCATAAAGCAGACGGCTGTAGAGAAGGCCTAGAAATTTGGTTCTGTACCCCAACAGCCAGAGGTAAGATTGCCACAGCTCATAGACTTTTCCAAATGCCTACCAATTAGGAAAGCCAAGGGATCCAGTGCTGTGGAAGATTATATTAACGATGTTGCCTTTCTTTATCCATTCATTCAGAGGGCCTCAAAGGAGATAGTATTTAAATGAGGGAGAGAGAAATAGGCAGACTTGGAAACCAGGAAGTAAAGTAGGCTTAAAAACTACGCTCCAAAAAGAAATCTGAGTGTTGTTGCTGGCACATGGGATGGACTGGAAACAAACAGAGGCAGAAGCCTATCGAATTTCTAAGATATTTATATTTCAAATGCAACCAAAAGCCTGGCCTGAAAATGTCCTCAGACTCTCAAACCTACACCTGTAGGAAGAAGGCTACTAAAACTACATAGTTTTTCCAAGACCCCCTTCAGATGCAGCCTTAAAGCATAACACGCTAGGAAGAATTCTCAAAGGACAAAATTTAGAATCTTAGAAGTCATGGGAAAGTACTCCACTGCCAAGACAGGGAACCTTCTCCATTCCTTTCTGGTACACTAATATCATTGCTATGGACCAGTGACTGCTGAGTGTATTCCATTCTTCCTTTGTTTCACTAGGGGTGTTGATTATGTTATTCTGCTCATACTCAACCGTTGTAATTGGATATATTGGGGAGGACGATATTTTTATTTTCTAGGCTACCACATGCAGCCACATCTGGACCTAATTTGAAGGTCAGAACATCACCCAAAGATCCTGTGCTTTAAGCTAGATGCAGAAATTGAATGGAACTTTGGATTATATTCTTTGGTGAGGGAGTCAATGTGTAAGAGAAGGGTGCAGATGGATATTTGGTGGCCAAAGGGTAGACTGTGGCACAGATTGCTAATTGTTCAGTAAAATTTATCCTTTCTTTCTCCTTGAACATATGTCTCTCCAGTCATATTACATCACCCATTTTTCCTTGCAGTTCCTTAGGTGTGGCCATGTGATTAGTTTTTACCATTGGTAAGGGAGCAGAAGTAACGACTACCATTTCTGGTCACAGGCCTTAAGCCACTGGGTATTTCTCCTTGACATACTCTATCCTCTTTTTGCTTCCAGTTTGATGAAACACAGACATGGTGGTGACCTAGCTTCCACCGTGCAGATAACTACAATCTCCTAGGCAATGGTACAGCAACACGATGAAGCTATTTACTGCTCAAGATTCACTCACTCTGCAACTCCCCATTTCTCTGTGTCCTAGAGGCTTTATGGGCTCCATTAATAGCTCCTTTGTCTTCTGGCTTCTATTTGGGAGGGTGAAAGGGGAGTGAAGTCAAGATATTTATTCCTTCTGCTCTTTCTAGGCTGACTTGTCACATGTTGGCTGCCTCCTTTTACCAATGACCACAGCATCTTTTAGGAGAGTCTCCATTTTATCTACTCTCTTCTGGTTCTAGTAACTGCTTTCACCCCTTGTTCCTTCAAACCTAAGGTTGGAAAGAGTCCCTGGCCTTCCCCCCACCCCATCGCCCCAACTCCATTGCTAGCACTGAAGTGTTGTACTGTCTTGTTGGTTTCCTTTAACCTTCCCACCCTTGTGTCAATAGTCCCCTTAAAGAACTTCCCTCAATAACCCTGAGTGTGCCTTCTCTTTCCTGCAAGACCCAGACCAGTGCATGTATCTGAATGGCTCCATCAATCACTCTCCTGAGAACTGGAAAATGAAAGAGATATAAACATTCTTTTTTTGTTTTTTTGAGGCATTGTACTTTTTGTTCTATGTGTTACAGTAGTTTAGCCTTACCCTAATTAACAGTGTTATGTTTTTTCTAGGAGTCTGTTCTTTTCATAAAAAATTCAAATTTGTTGGCATAAGGTGGTTCATCAACTCCTCTTTTTATCTCTCTAATGTTGATAGCATCTGCATGTCTTATTTCTCATTTCTGACATTGGATAATTGAGCCATCCTTTTTTTTGGTAAGACTAACCAGATGTGTATTAGTTTTTATTCATCTTTTTAAAGAATGAACTTTTGGCTTTTGTTGACTTTGTACATTATATGTGGTTTTCTGTTTCATTAGTTGGCTGATTATCATAACAAATTACTCCAGAACTTTGCATTTTAAAACAATCAGAAACTTTTATCATGGTGCACAGTTTTTGTAAGTAAGGTAGAAATGGCAGTGTTTTTATATAACCTAGCCTTGGCAGTCACACATCATCACTCTTAAAATATTCTATGGATTACACAGGTCAGCCGTATTTGATGTGGGAAGGAACTATGGAAGGGAACTAACACTAGGATGTAAGGATCCTTGGGGGCCATCTTGGAGCTGTCTTCCACATTGGTTTTTGCTCTTATCTTTACTATTTTCCTTCCTGAACTCAGCTACCCCTAATCATCACCCTAATATCTCCACCTGCATCTCTGACAACTTACAGTAACATGCTGAATAACAATGTTTCAGTCAATGACGGATCACACATATAACAGTGATCCCATAAGATTAGTACCATGTAGCCTAGGTGTGTAGTAGGCTATATCATCTAAGTTTATGTAAGTACACTCTATGATGTTCACACAAGGACGAAATCATCTAACATCTCATTTTTTAGAATATGTCCCCGTCATTAAGTGTTGCATGACTGTAAACAGAAAGACTGGGAAAGGGAAGGCAATGAATCATCAAAATGCAGCATTTATTGTGAGGGGCGATCCTGTCACTGACTAATTGCCCAGAGGAACTCAAGGGAGGTTTCAGAAGCATTTAACTGTTTCTCCATTTTTTTTTTATTATGTTAAGAGATGCTATCTCTTTTATTATGTTAAGAGATGCAATACCAACCAGACCAAGCCCCACCACAAGAGCAGCGCCTGGGCGGATGAGCCGAGAGATGACCTAAAGTTGCCCTTTGCTTCATTTTGATACTAAAATCTCCGCCCTGTGAGGAGCCTAAGCTTTATTACCATAACATGTACTGTTTGTGGAGCATGTTTTCCAACTAAGCCTGCACAAGTGAAAACCCACTTCTCCCTTTTGACTATTCATTCCCCATCTAAAATCAAAGGCCCCTGCTTTCCTGTGCTCCAAGAGACACGGTTTTGGGAAATAATTCCCCATGCGCTCCTTATTTGCTGCAAATACTTTGTGTGAAAAGTACTTCTGGCGAAGGCTCTGATTTCAACTCACTAAGAAGCGCATCAGCTTTGGTTCTGTAACAATCCCTCTCCTTCCCAAGCCAAGTGAGGGAAGAGGATCAAGATAATCACATAAGGATTTGGAGTGCCTACATGAAGGCAAACCCCAGAGCCTTGTGGCCTTCCCTGTGAAAGGACACACTGGTCCCTCAGCAATCAGATCCCCCAAATCTCTCTGGGGGCTTTATCATCCAGCCTTTCCTAACTTGGCCTGAGGAGAAGGCAGGGCAGGGCCAATTCTCAGGAACCCACCAGCATCTAAATGCCCTTAGAGTTCCCATCTCTGGCTTTCCATGTTCTGCCTAGTCTGGTAAACTTTGTCTAATCTAGTAGGTGTAAGGGTTAGGGACAGAAAAAAAAGACTATTATATTTTTTGAAACTGACTGTATACCTGATCTTAGTTATTATTTTTTTCTGTGTCCCCCTGATGGTTAGGCTTTTGAAACTGACAAGAGATTTTCACATATTGAGGTATATGGGGTAAGTATTCGGGTTCAAAATTGATTCGGCTTGAACTAAAAAGCCTGACTTATGGCCTATCAAACGTACATTGTACATCTACTTAAGCATTAAAGTAAAGGATACACTCTCTTAAGATAAGAATGCATACCTCCCCTCCTACGCCCTACTGGTAACACACAGATTAGTCCCTGGCCTGACATCACAGTCACATTGACCTGCTAATTTGCAATTGAATGCCTCTTTGAAATTTTGATAATAATGTATCCTGGGTGTGTTTAATGTATGTTCTTTGTTCTAAAAAGATATAAGACTGTACTGAAAACCATGCTTCTCCAGAACGCTTTCTAAGACCTTCCTGGGTTATAATCCTCACTCTGGCTCAACTCACCTATTTCCCTTATCTATAGAATGGTTAGTGGTTATTTTGCGTCAACAAAACTTAAAGTCTGAGAACTGACTATAACATTCTGCTGAGTCATTCCTCCTCTGAAGCAATGGAAACTGCAGTCTTACCATCTAAATCAGAAAGGGGTGACATGGCCCAAAAAGTAGAATTTCACCCTGCTACAAAACTTTTCAGCAAAACTTACATCTAACTGAGCAAAATTCTTTAGGAAATAAAGAGGCCTTCCCACTCAGAGGAGGAAAAAAGAAATCAACCAACCACTCCCCAAGAAAAGTCACAAAAAGGGAAGGGGGTGGGGAGCGTGGGTATCCTGATTCCCGTCATGCTAAAGGTTGTCCTGGTTTTTGACTGAGAAAGGGACACTTCTATTTATTCTCGTCAAACAGGTTTAGACAGGACTTCAAGCCAGAACCATGTTGTTCATTTCTGGTTTCTTAGGGCCAAGTCTATGGGATGTTGCTTAACAAGTGTTTATTGAATTAACCAGAAGAGCAAATTTAAAGCAATTGAAGGTAACAGACCGGAGGCCCCGTCGCATGGTTCAGAGCCAAGCTGATTACAATACTTCAGATACAGATGTCACTACAATTAAGACATTTTAAAAAGGAACAGATCAGCCCTGCTCTGCTCTAAGTGAGGCTTGTCTCTGTCAGATTTCCCAGAACTTGATTTGCTGTGTGTCTGTACTGGGGAGAATGCAGGTTTAAGGAGGCAGTCTCATGACGTCAATTCTTGCTTTTATCCATGGGCTGGGCTCTTGATTGGCAGTTTGTGCCTCACACAATTGGAGGAAGAGAAGGGAATTGTAAATATTTAAACATTAGCTTTTCTCCTGGTCTGGACTGCAGGAGGCTCAGAACATCACAGCCGTACGAGGTAATTTTGCCACACAGTTATCAAGGAGCCCTAGGTGAGCTGGCCGCCTCGCTTGCCACAGCGCACCCATCGTATTGTAGAAAGAATGTTGGGGGTGCTATACAAAAAGAATTGAGAGGTTTGGCTTCCTGTTGGACTGGCACTAACGTGACTTGCAATTTGGTGGATATTATGTAATCTCTCTACTTCTTTACTTCTAGCCATAAGAAAAGCCAGATGCACTTTTGTTGGTGTTCGTCATTTATTTACGGTTCTGCTTATGATATAATTAGGGATTTTCTTTTACCAGATATGTAGACTTTTTGAAATATCTGGAGTCTAGAGCACACAGTACACAGCTTTGTGAAACACAGTGCCTACGAGAAGTTTCCCGTGGTACACAACAGCCACAGAGCTGCCCTGAAGCACAGAGCCATTATTGGCATACTCGGTACCTATCCTGGGCTGGTCAGACAAAACATTCTGGATGCGAAGCACCTGTTAAGAAAAGATTGTTTGTTAGTATACTATATGAGCAAACAGCCCTCAGTGACGTTTTCCTTCGCAAATACTCCAGGACTGATATATTTCTCAGAAATCCAAAAGCTAAAATCCATATATCCATCTTCAATCATTTTTTACTTCTTCTGATGAAAGTATTAATGTGCTGATGATATCTATGCAGTCAAGTGGACTAGTTATCTCACATTAGCCAAATTCCTCAACAGATGGTTTACACAATTTTAATAGTTCAGGCATCTCCTATAGAAGGAGGTAAGAACCAGTGGATGCTTTTGTCTATTGAGCAAACGGTGTTCCTCTATGGGAAGGGTCTTGCCTTTGACTGGGCCTACAGCATGGGGAGGGAAACACGGGACAAAATGATGAAGGGACACCCAGTTAGCAAGCCAACCTAACCTCGCAACCAGTAGGATGGTAGTCATCCCAGCTGGAGACCCTCTCATGCCCACGAAGTGGCTAGGAAGCATAAAGAATGCATACTTTGGAATTCAATCTGACACATCACTGCCTAGTATTGTTATTGATCCCCAGGATTAACACACTTTAGTTTGCTAATCAGCAAATATATAAGTGCTCAGGTTTCCAAATAGCCTGGATGAAGTTCACTTAAACAGGACATGATAGGAATTAAAGAAAACCTATTAGAAATTGACGAGTCATGAGTCTATACCGACATCTCTTATTAGAATAGAGTTTAGTTGACTTTTGTTTTTTTTTTTATCTTAAGGAAGATCCTACAACTTCATCTCAGGTTTGTTACATGAAAATACTCAAGCTTGGAATTCATGTAGAAAACATTAGCCTCAACCAAAAGTAAAGGGTGTCAGTGAGTGTGAAGAAAGAACTCTTATCTAAAATAAACAAATAGTTAAACTTAAAAATAGAGACATGAAAAAGATCCTAAACAGTTTTCAAATCATCCTATGGATCGTATTTTCATTTTCTTATAGCAGATGTTGTCGGCCATTTATAGAAAAGTTCTGTGTATCACTTTTGGGGCCACGTATCTGAGGCAAGGGTAGCTTGCTAGCTTAGGGTAATAATTCAGGCTCTAGGCTCAGGCTGGACTTTTGTTTCCTTTTATATTTTTGGGTTTTTTTTTTTTTTAAGAATCTATGATTAACATGTTAATAAGAGAAACAAACTTTTTTTGTTTTTTTTTTTAACTGAAGAACAGCAATATAGGAAGCAGAAATAACTATATGTTCTAATTTACCTACTGGGCCAATGACCAGGCTAGGGTTTGAATGTCAATTTCCCAACTCCCCAAAATTAGATTGAAATGTGATATCCTTCTTCAAATCTTACCTTCTCAATGAGGCCTACCCTGACCTCTGTATTAAATAATAGGATCTGCCCACAACCCTGTTCACAGCAATCCTGATCCTCTTTACTATTATACTTTTTTTCCCATAGAACTTACCACCTTCAAACTTACTATATAATTTACTTATTTCTTACGCTTATTGTTCATTGTCTGTTCCCCCTCCCTAAGAACAGGGATCCTTGTATGTTTTGTTGTCTGATATATCCTAAGCATTAGAACAAAGTCCGGTGCATTATAAGTGCTCAGTAAAGTTTTGTGAATAAATCTCTGAGTATGTGTGCCAAGAATTTATATCTATGTTTAAATTCACTAGAGATTTTTTTATTCTTAAACTCAATGATATAGAAAATGCAATACTTTATGCCATTGTTTTTAATGCCATATAAAATTCAATGGCATATGCTGTTGTTTTAGAAGAGATTTTTAAATAACACAAATAACACCTTTAAAATGAGACATTCTTCAACATTATCATATATATTAGAACCTTGCTGGCCAAAACTAATTTTGTTTTGAGACTACAGTCATTTAAACCCTTTCATTTCAGCTTCACATTGGGTAGTGTGAAAGAAGATGGTCCCATATATGACTGTCCCTTTGCCTAGCTTGAGGGCCTGCTCAGAGCCTAAATCCTGACTGGAAATATGACATGGCAATCTGGGTCAATATAAATATTCAAGCTCATATTTTCCCATCATTCCCAAGAGCAAGTATAGCCCTTGCAAGGATGAGACATTTGTCTAGCAATGATGTTAAATTGGCACCAGGTGACCTGAAAGGGTTAATGGGCCAGATCTCCCCATCCTGCCCAAATCTCTACTCTTTCCACGTATAGAATTTGTTCAGTTCTAGAACATCACATGCGACCAACTAAATTCCCCCAAGTCACCTCAATAAATCGTTTGTTCTTGCAGCTTTGCCTGTGAGCTCAGAGAAGTATAGGAACTTACCTCTGACCCTGGAGGATCCTGAGGGTTATACATCAGCAGCTTCATGACATTAGGATGGCATCCTGCCCAAATATCTCCCGTGTCAGGATCAACACTTAGGTTATCCACTAAGGTGCCCAACTGTATTACCTTCCAACAAAGAGGAAGTAGTGAAGATGTTGTTTCCACTTTCTTCCCTACCCCTTCTTCCTCCCACCAGCTCCTTTTGGCTCCTGAAATTGATTTTTTTGTTGTTGTTGTTTTTTTGAGCAAGATTAGCCCTGAGCTAACATCTGTTGCCAATCCTCTCTTTTTGCTGAGGAAGATTGGCCCTGGGCTAACATCTGTGCCCATCTTCCTCTACGTTATGTGGGAAGCCACCACAGCATGGCTTGACAAGCGGTGCATAGGTCTGCATCCGGGATCTGAACCCGTGAACCCCGGGCTGCCATAGTGGAGCGCACAAACTTAACCGCTATGCCACTGGGCTGGCCCCTGAAATTGATATTTTTAAGGGGCTTTGCTACTGAAGTTTTGAATTGCAAGCATAATCTCACTTATATTCTTCTAAAATAGTCATGTTTCCTTCATTCAAGGAGCACATTCCTAGGTCAAGTGTGGGAGCTAATGTTAAGAGGCCATGTTGGGTGGGCAAGCCAGGGTACTTTTACCTTCAGTGGAGTTAAATCCCAGTTATCATGTTTTTTCATTACATGAATGTTCTTATCCATTATATCAGCTACATAGATATACCTTTGAAGTAAACAACGTTTATATTTAAGCAAGTAATAATGAGAAACGATACTAACATTTATTCTGGAGAAGACGTATAAAAATTCACAATAGTTCAAAGTGCCACTGCAATGCTTTTTGAAACCACAATTAAAAAAAGATAATGGAGTGGTATTTTTAATATTCTTGAAATGCTTTAAATAAGCTTGAATATGAGATATGGCTATAAAGTAATGAAACTGATGTTTCTAGGTGGTATATAGGTGTAGTCTCATTACCTAGGAGTCACAATTTATTCTTTAAATTGAATGGAGGTAAGTGGACCTCTCATAAGGCCAAAAGAGTCTATACTTCCAAAAACTAGAGCTTGGAAAGATGTATTAGATGACCACGAAGCTCAATCACAATCATTTTTAAAAAAAGAAAAACACTTAGAGTTGTTTTCCACAGGGGTCATCTCTATTCATTATCTCAGATCTACATATTAACACTCATGATACTTTTCTTTTATAAAAACCTTCCATTTTTAAACACTTTAAAAGAGTATTTCTCATAAAATTTCATGCTGCATAAAATAGTGTTTTCTCATAGAAAAGTCTGCTGTAGTATACCAGTAAGTCTGAAACGTACACAATTGCACTGCCCAATCTAAGTTGGGCCTCCATCTCTAATAAGAACTTTTGGGTAACTAAACAGAATAAAAAACATAAGGGGCAGAGGTATTGTGCATTTATTCTCTTTTTTAGTGTGTTAGGTAAGTGTGTTTCTAGAGTCACATAAGAATTTGGAACAAGGACTTTATATCCTTGAGTCCAAACCCCTCACTTCAGTGGCGGGAGCCTGAAGTGCAAGACGGCAAATGGTTTGCTTCAGATCACACATTTAGAGTGAATGCTGGCCACATCTGATCCCTCCACACCTATACTGACTACTTAAGTCTAGGCAAGTAACCACCTCTTAAGGGAAGAAGTCCACTAAAATGTGAAGGGCAAAGGGTAGAGAAACTACAAAAGAGCTTACTTCTTATCTGGTGAGATTGTGATGCCATTGGCAGAACTAAATCCTTTGGCCACCACTTTGACCTCTCTTGGAGTATAGAAAAGAACATACGTCCAGTGAAGATCCATGACCATCTCAAAAAATAGTGCCAAGAAGAAGTTGGTAGAATAGCGGTCTCTGGTGGCGTAGAACTGTTCTGGTCCGACAACCACAATGTCATTCACACTAAAGTGGAAAAAAAAACAGAGAGAGAAACCTGTGGAATATTTAAATATCCTGATTGTTGTCAAAACCACTAAATCTCTACAAAGACCAATAAGTTCATCAATTTGAAAAAGTATACATGAACTAGTATGGATCAAAGAATCCCACAGAAAGTACATGATTTTTCATTGTCCTGAAGGTTTTTCTTTCAGCCATTTGTTATTTTCACTTCTCCCTTCTGTAGAAGTCAGCAAAAACAAATGTACAAATAAGTGTCAAACTCCAAATCTGTTGATTTGTAAATGTTAAATAATGGTTATCTGTGGTGGTCATAGTGCAGTTCACCAATAGTTGGTTCTCCGCCTTCTAGAATTAGGCTTCTCCATGCCCTTGATGTTAGGCACAACATGTGACTTGCTTTGCCTAGTGAAATGAAGTGAGGTATGTGGCTTCTGGATGGAAGACTTTAAGAGCCAGTAGGTGATCCACCATGCTTCCCTCACTCTTCCACAGTAACCAGCAACTTCCCTGATGATAGAGAGTGTGATCCTCCTAGAGCCCTACATGAGGACAATATAAAACTCAGTCCCTGAATCATCTACATTGAATGTGTAGTACAAGTGAGAGAACAAAACAAAACTTTGTGGTTTTAAGCCACTTAAGATGTTAGGGTTTTTCTTTTCTGTTATTGTAGCATAACCCAGTCCATTCTGACCTTTATATTTTCTCTGAGTAGGTGGGATTATGAGTGCTATTCTTTCTTATTTATGCCCTTCAATACTATTAAAATTGTTAAATGAAGCAAGTCTTACTCTTACAGCAGTAAAAAACAATAAAGTCATTTCCATATTGGAAAAGAAAAAAAGAGACAGTGACTTGAAAAAAATGATAAACATTTTTATATTAAGTTTAGGGAAGAAACATCTGGGTGAATCAGGAAATACTTTGAGGTTTTGATATACAATGACTTTCCCAATGTTATTGGGCCACTTATCTTTTGGGTCTCAACTTAAGCATTCCTTCCTCTAAAAAGTATTGCCTGACACCACAGATTAAGTTAAATCCCTCACAACTTGTTTCCATAGCACCTTGTTCTACTGCTTGAATTGCTTGGTCAATGTGTGTATCAGGGCACCTCTCAAGTGCTCTTTAGATCCTCAAAGCCTCACCCACCCTGTTCCAGCTGGCACTGCTTCAACTAACTCTGCATGGGATCTGACAGCCTTTCCCCAGTGCCACCTTACAATGCCTTACTTCACGTCTGTTATGGGCCTCTTGCTCCCACCTCTGGGCTCCTGTGTTGGCGTCAAAGCACAGGATATCACCAGACTTGATTTGCACATGCACAATCGGGAACGTGCAGGAGTTAATACCCCTTGAGGCAAACCTTTGACTAACGGGAGATGGGGCTGGTGAATAAACTTCTCCCTTTCTTTTCTTGGCCAGACTGTCCTGAAATCAGGCATATGCTGCTTATTGGAGGACAATCCCATGATTTCAAGCAGTCGATTGCACTTAGCAGTGGCTGGCTTGATAATACATTTGCTATAGACTCTCCCTCATATTAGTTTGTTAGGGTGGCTGTAACAAAGTACTACAAACGGGGTGGCTTAAGACAACGGAAATTTATTGTCTCACAATTCTGGAGAAGAGAAGCCCAAAATCAAGGTGTTGACAAAGACATACTCCCTTTGAAGGTTCTATGGGAGGATCTTTCCTTGCCTCTTCCAGCTTCTGGTAGTCCCAGGTGTTCCTTGGCTTGTAGATGCATCACTCCAATCTCACTCTCCATCTTCACATGCATTCTCCCTGGATGTCTGTCTGTCTACTTATAAGGACCCCAGTCATATTGGATTAAGGGCCTACCCTGCTCCAATATAACTTCTTCTTAACTAGTTTCATCTGCAATGATCCCATTTCCAAGTAAGGTCATGTTCTAAGGTATCTGGGGTTAAAATTTCAACATATCTTTTTGAGGGGACACAATTCAACCCATAACAACCCCCCTTTCCCTGCAGCCTTAGGCTGGACTATCACTCCTGCATCCTGGGATGGTACTCCCTAATAAAGTAGTTGTGTATCGAGTGTTCTTTCAGGCTGTGCTTTCTGAGGAACTCTTCCCATGAGGTCATACGTTATTGCATTTGATCCTCACAATCACCCGTTAGGTAAGTCAGGCCAATGAGAGAATCCTCATTTTGCCAAGGAAATTGAAGCACAGGTTAAGTGATTTGTCTACAGTTTCTCAGTCACCCCATGGCAGTCCTGGTCCCCACTGGGCCAGAACCCAGCACAATGCATTGTGGGAAGAGTTCAATTACTTTAACTTCTCTCACTTCTTTTGCCCTCTGCTTTTGTTGCCCCCAGATACTACGGGGAGAAATTCATACATGATGTTGAGAAAGAGAACAAATGAGAGAAGGTGAACTTCCTTCCTTTTCTTCTATTCTTCTATCCCACGGAAAGATTAACCTCTACTGTTTTGGAACCAGTGTTTCAGAGTTGAGTCCATTTTATAAAAGACAAACTCTTCATTGTTTATTACAGCCTTGAGACAGGCAACCTATCCACTAAAAAACTTACTATTTTTCTCAACACAGTAAGAAAGATGTTCATCACTGCGATTGAGAGCCTCGCTTTGAATTCAGATGGATCTAGGTTTACATTCTGGTTCTGCCGCTTACAAATTACGTAACTTGGGCAAGTTACTTAACCCCAAATTTCTCTAAGTCTCAGTCTATTCATGCCTATTACTAAAGGCTATTGTGAGAATGAAATTAAGTATTTTGGCACAGTGCCTGGCACATAGTCAATGCTTAGTAGAGGTGAATTTTTGTATGTGCTCAGAGGCTTTTTTCAAATTCTACTTTAAAGCTCTGATGGGACAAAGGAATGGCCCATCTGGAGGCTGGTTATAACACCCAGTAGGTGCAGCTCTCAGAACACAGCCTACGAGGACAACTAGAAAAGGGCGTAGGTATTTCAAGAGAGCCTGATAGCGGGTATTGCCTTGCTGTGGTACAGAGGATGGAATTAGAGCTGGGAATCTAATTGAGAGCCTTTACAGGATTATAATGCTTTCAGAAAGTTGGAAAATATAAGGATATTCAATACTGAATACAACAATTTCCAGCGAGGTGCTGGGCAGTGTCACCATGGGAACCTTTAGAAAGCTTTAGAAAAAAACGCTACAAAACAAAAGTTGAAGAAAGCCTGCTGAAACAAAGAAAACAAAGCACACAGCAGAGGTTCACAACAAATAGAAGTGTAAAATACTTTAATTCCATACCTTTTGAGAAGTTCGTGTTGTATAGTTTTCAAGTGTATCAGGGAACGTTGTTGTTCCTCAAATTTAAATATCTCCACAGTGGACTTCAAGTCGGGATGATTCACAACATAAAGATACACAGTGTGGTCTAAAGCAGAAAAAGGCATAATTTCCAAGAAGTTTACTTCTATTGCAACTGTGATTCGACTTGGTGCAGAACTTGGTCACATCCAAGGATTTTTCTCGTCCATCTTGCATTTGATCCCACAGCCCACCTGATACGTAAGTCAGACAAATCCAGGATCCCCATTTTATTGAAGAAATTGAGACTCAGAAGGTTAATGACTTGTCAGCAATTTCACCACCACCAAGTGGCAGAGCCAATCACAATCTCTTCAGCCTCACCTGCATACCCTCTCTAACAGAACTACAACGTGCATAAACACCCGGATGTGGTTTCTCAGGTGGCTCTTCAACAAGAGAAGTGGGTGCAAGAAAACAAAGCTTTGTTGAGAATTCTTTCCCATGAGAATTGCCTACGTTGCAACACACTCAAGAAATATCAGAGCTGTGTAAATATCTTAAATTAAGCCACATTTTCCAACTAGAGAATGAGCTTCTGATATAAGTCAGCTACCTGAGGTTGCAACAACAGTATATTTAGTGAACCCAATCGACATGGAATGTAAATATGAATGCTAGAGAAAACAGACTAGCCAATTCTGGGTATCAGCAACCTCAAGAATGTTCACATAATCTGTTTTCATATTGGAATGCCAACTGCTGTGAACAGGATTGAGGGTAGTTATCTGGCTTCTGAGAGTACTATCTTCTGACTTTTTAGGAGCTCTAGGTCCAGTGAGCTCTAGAGTTTTAAAGGGCCTGGCCCCATCCTCCCATTGCAGGACTGATCTGCGTTCATCTCCCCCCTTCCTTCCTTTCTTGATGAGGTTTTAGTGACTGAATTCTTTCACTTAGGATAATTTTTACAAGGTTCATCCATGTTGCAGCAGGCATCAGTACTTCATTCCTTTTTATTGCCATATAACATTCCATTGTATAAATATACCACCTTTTGTTTATGCATTCATCAGTTGATGGGAATTTGGGTTATTTTTACCTTTGGGTTATTAGGAGTAATGCTGCTGTGAATATTCCTGTACAAGTTTTTGTGTGGACCTATGTTTTCAATTCTCTTAGCCATGTACCAAGGAATGGAGTTTCTGGATCATGTCGTGACTATGTTTAACATTTTGAAGAACTGCTGAACTGCTTTCCAAAGTGGCTGTACCATTTTACAATCCCACCAGCAAAGTGTGAGAGTTCCAATTTCTCCATATCCTTGTCAACATTTATTATTGTCTGTCTTTTTTATTATAGCCATCCTAGCGGGTGTGAAGTGGAATCTCATTAAAGTTTTGATTTTCGTTTCCCTAATGAGTAAGGATATTGCGTATCTTTTCATGTGTTTATTGGCCACCTGTATATCTCTTTGGAAAGATGCCTACTGAGATCCTTTGTCCATTTTTTTTGTGTGTGAGGAAGATCAGCCCTGTGCTAACATCTGCCAATGCTCCTCTTTTTTTTTTTTTGGCTGAGGAAGACTGGCCCTGGGCTAACATCCATGCCCATCTTCCTCCACTTTATATGGGATGCCACCACAGCATGGCTTGCCAAGCAGTGCATCGGTGCGCGCCCAGAATCCAAACTGGCGCACCCCGGGCCGCCGCAGCAGAGTGCGCGCACTTAACCACTTGTGCCACCGGGCCAGCCTCCTTTGTCCATTTCTTAATTGGGTTATTTGTCTTTTTGTTGCTGGGTCATAAGAATTATTTACATATTCTGGATACAAGCCTTTTACCAGATATAAGATTTACAAATACTTTCTCTCAGTCTTTGGTTGTTTCTTCACTTTCTTCATGATGTCTTTTGAAATAGGAAGCCTTTAATTTTGATGAAGTCTAATTTACCTATTGTTTTATTTTGTTATGTTTTTTAGTGTCACACAATTATTTTCAAAGGGCCTTTAGTTTATAGGTTAGATTTCTGAGAACAATATCCAAACCGGTTTTGTTGGTCAAATGAGAAGAAAAAGGAGTAGGAGAAAGAGGGAGCAATCTCGTTCTAGTCTTCCTTCTTTAATGTGACGTTTAAAAGTATTTTGATACACATTTATTATCTTACAAATATACATCTTTATGGTAAAATAACATCTTCCCTCCTTTCACATACATGTTGAGTAGCTGGGGATAAGTGGTTTGTATTTCCCTCTCATTCTTAAGCATTCATACTTTACCTTTGTCAATGAAAGTGCTGATTCCATGTGGATTGAATGATGCTTTGTCAAAATCATCACTCATCTTTAGCGCCTGGACCTTTGGGTTTTTCTCATTCAGATCCATCAAGAAGATTTTCCCTAGCTCATCTGGTGCCAAGTCTGGCATGCCCGGATATCTCAATCCCTTGAAAAAATAAAGAATAAGTATGCACACATATACATATCAAAACATTTTCATATGGAAGTTAAAATCTCAAAGCCTAACAAAAATGTTCAAAGCTCTAAATTTCTTTTAGATTTCTGGGATTTTCCCTCTGTCAACTGTTGCCATTATCTGATCTGAGGGATTACCAATGTCACCTAAGCCATTGAGAATGGGAATGGGAATATGGGAAGAATCCATAACCAATTTTATATACAGAGAGAAGGGGTTAAGCCAAAAGGCATAATGCAAGAGACTAGACTTTGTTACTCTGTTTAATTCCCTTGGTTAAAATGCATGATTTCTAAGATTCTTTCCAGTCATGATAGTCTACAACCACCCTTTCTCAAAGCAGAGAGAAAGGGTGTATGGTTTCATTGTACTGCTCGCATCTCTACACCCATTATATTATGTAGTGAAAAACAGTAGAATCAGCCAAGAATTAACATAGGGGAACCAGTCTTGTAGAGTTGACTATTTCTCGCCTATTTTGTTCCTATAGCTATGTCTGAAAATGTGGACATGAATCCTTTTCTCCAAATATTCAAAAATTTCATTCCAATAACTTAGACAGTGGCTCTTTCTACTGGAAGGACCCGGGGTTTATCAACCAATAATAGGCATCCTGAATGTATTGGGCCTTTGCTGCATCCCAGATCATCGTGTCAAACCTTGGGGTTGGTTTATTCTACATCAATTACAAAACTCAGCCCACTTCCTCCCCATATGCCTCCCCCATCACGCAGATATATATCAATATAAACAATATAAACAACCTTGTATCTTTACTTGCACCCTCATTTCCATTTATAGTCAATTTAAATTCTCTCCTTCCTACTTTACCTTTCCTCTCTGTCTCTCTCCCTCTCCCCTCCCTTTCATCTAAACAAACACCCATACACACACACTTACTACTACTACTACTATTCTTGGCCCTTCCACTGTCCCCCACCCCACCCCTGGGAAAGTCAGTCTTCAGCTCCAAACAGTCCCACCTATATCTTCAAGTTTTTCTTAGAGCAGTTCTTCTATGTCTAAATCTTATCAGAAACCCCTGGTTTCCCCAAGACAACGCTGGCACTGCTGAAGCCCATCGGAGGAGGTGCTATTCCCTCCTTCTCCTTAAGTTCACCACGGCTGGAGGAGAGATCAGCATGCCCCAGCCACAAACTTCTGCTTCCAGACCTGGAATCTGTCATCATCAATCAACAGCTTGTCTTCTAAGGAAAACATACCGTTTGCTTACTGCTTCCTTATCAAATTCCCTGCCAACTCTTTTTTCCCTGGTCTACCTCTTATAGAGGGCTAGTCTAAAGTCAGGTTGAAAAACTCCACTACAAAGTTATCATCCCAACTTCAACCAGGCATTCAATACTGTTTATCAATCATTTTGTTCATTCTAATAGGTAATCTGTTGCATTTCTCCAAGTATCTATTCTAATTTATTTCATTGTCTTCCAGAGCCCACATCTTCTTCTTCTTTATTCTCAATGGATGACTTTATCTGCCATTTCTCTGAAAAAAACCCCTTGCCATTCAACATGAATTTCCTCTGATTCCCTCCTTTCTGTCTCAGTAACTTTTCAATTTTTTGAATAAAATTCAACTTTTATCAATTCTCTTCCTTTCTCTCTCTTTTCTTAAGGATAGAGTACCCCTCTTCTGTTCTTAAGTTAACTCCGCCACCTGTATATTTGGTTCCCTGTTCTCCAGGGACTGTCTTTAGAAATTACATCCTCTCTCTCTTGCTTTACCACTCATTTTTCACCAATGCCCTCTTCTTTTGCCTGAAAAATTGTTCATTTCTCCTCCCTTGAAACAAATCTTCTCCTAACTTTACTACTTCTTCAAACATGCATTTATCTCGCCTTCCTCTCACTGTCAAATTTCTTATAAACATCACTTGATCTGGTTGCCTGACTTGAATTTCTCCAACTCTCAATTCCCTGAAATCAGTATTTGACCAGTTTGTAGAAAAGACAAGTAATATGTCTCTATAAAGGTCAGATTAATGACCTCTAAAATATTTTATTTGATAACTCCTCTACCTTTCCTTAGCTGTATCTCTGTGCCATTTGACACTGTGGCATAATGCTTTATTTCTTGTCAAAAGTCAAAATTAGAATTTCCAGATAGACTTCCTACTTCCTTCCTGCCTCTTCCTCATTCTGTCCTCACTCATCCTTCTTTCCCTATTGCTCTATACTTTTCTCTTGGAGATCTTATTCATAAGGTTTCAGGTATTTCTTCTATACCAGTGATTCAAATCTGCACATTTAAATGGAACCTCTCTCCAGAGCCCTCACTTGCATTCCCAACTTCTTCCTAAGGGCAGCTCAAAGTCAAATGGTCAAAACCAAAATGAACATTCTCTCCTTGAATCCTTTTCTTCTCGTTTGTATCTATTATTCTTGGTTAAGGGCATCACTGTTCTCCCCAATATCAGGCCATAAAATTCAGTCTTCAAGTCTACCCTTTCCCCACAGTCAATCTGTCACTGATCCCAGTAGCTTAGATAATGGTAGCATTGGAAAAAAAAGTGTGACAGACATCTAATCCTTCCCTGTTCACCTGAGGAAAACTAAGCTTAGAGACACAAATTACCTACATCACTCAGATCATTAATTGCACAGCCTCTTTCTGCCACACCATAAAGAAAGGGTTGACAGTAGAGATTATTGCTCCAGAAGGCAGCTCAAGGCACAACCAGAGGAAGTACATTGGTAGCTTGGGCATTTGAGGGCACTGTCAGCTTGCAGAAAGACTGGATGCTCTAGAAATGGAAATAATTTGATAGGGAAATAAGTGGGGCATTGCAAACAAACTTGGTTTAGATTAAGTGCTATGATGAATGAAACACTTCTAATAAATGGCTCCACACTCACCTGGTTTTCTGTTTAAGGCAGTTGGGTAAGAATTTGTGGCAAGTGATTGCAAGCAATTCTTTTGATACCATTCACCACTGAAAATGGTGAACATCACTGGAGGTGCGGGCATCTTATTTTCCCTAACAGACTACAGGTATCTGCGGACAGGCACTGAAATCCTCCACTGCGCTCATTCACCAGTACGTGCATTCAGTAAATATTCCAGCACCTGTGTATGCCACATAGCATGTTAGGTGCTGAGCAAGGCAACGAACACTCCAAAGTCCTGGCCTCAGGGAGTTTGAAATGCAGGGAGGCAGCACCAAGCAAGCACATCAGATACGCTGTGGTATGTAACAGCCTAAAAACAGGGAACGTGAGGGATCACAGAAGAGGCATCTCACCCAGAAAGAGAGTGTCAGGGAAGAACTTCCTGAGGAATTAAAGGGCCACCACAGTGAAGCCTCACAGAAAACTAGGAGTTAGCCAGTAACGTGTGCAGAAGGGAATAATCTTGCAGGCAAAGAGAAGCATGCCAAGTCCCAAAGAAGGAAGCCAATAGCCTGCTTGTCACCTCTAAACAGACTAAAAATATCTATCATATACAGAATCACTCTCCAAATCAGCAGCTTCCAAACCTGTTCCAGGATGGCAAGAAAGGGCGATAGGAGAAACCAAGAATAAGGACTTAAATTTATTACAGTGTAGAAAGATTAACAATAAGGAAAGAACATCATCTTTAGCCTCTAAGTATGAGTCAGTTTACAAAAAAAACTCCATTATTTAAAGCTTCATGTTAACATTTCTCATGGAATTATTTGTGACGAAAATCTCTACCTTATGTATAGCGATAATTCAGCACTTTTAGTTCCAGTGAAAATAGAAAAGAAGCATACAGTAGGAACTACAAATATTATTTCCTAACAGCTAAGAAGTCTCCTAGCTATAGAATAGTCGATTATTTGTCATAACATTGAAAATCTAAACTGACAATAGAAAATTTAAGTTAACAAAGAAAAAGCTTTTCTAGACAGCTTTGTTTTACCTTTGGTTTTGGAGGAAAACTAAAGAAATAAAAGCCCGCCCACCTCCCCACCCCCACACATACCACCACAAGTAGCAATTTAAAATCCAAATGAAACCCTGACTATTCTGTGCATACTTAAGAATTTAGAAATTCAGGCCATTAAGGGTTATTACACATGCCCCTTTTTTGGCCAAAAATATATAGATTTATTTATTTATTTTTGTGAGGAAGATCAGCCCTGAGCTAACATCCGTGCTAATCCTCCTCTGTTTGCTGAGGGGGACTGGCTCTGAGCTAACATCTATTGCCAATCCTCCTCCTTTTTTTTTTCCCCCCAAAGCCCCAGTAGATAGTTGTATGTCATAGTTGTACATCCTTCTAATTGCTGTATGTGGGACGCGGCCTCAGCATGGCCGGAGAAGAGGTGCGACCGTGCGCGCCCGGGATCCGATCCCGGGCCGCCAGTAGCCGAGCATGCGAACTTAAGCGCTAAGCCACGGGGCCGGCCCCCAAAATATATAGATTTAAAAATTCATGTTATTTGGTAGTATTTTATTTGCCAAGATGGAATATTAGGACAGGCAATTCCAGCAATCAGAATTCACATTGAAAATGTAGTCAAACCACTTTTTCAAAATCTTAGGTCCCATTCCAAATTGCAACTGATTTAATAAATACATGATAATTTTCAACATCTTCACAACATATACATTTTAATTTCTTGAAATTCAATCCTTCGCATAGCTTCCTGATCATTCCAAACCTGTGAAGGTGGTATTGTGAATAGAATGTAGGCTCTCTACTTCTCTTAGAAAGAGCTGGAAGGAATGGCAGGGAATACAACAAGGAAAATGCTCAGGGTCTTGAATCGAGTGACATGGTTAACATTTGGTTCATAAACACTTACTGAACGCAAAACACAGGCAGGCATGGCAAGAGGAATACTAGTTAGTGACAAGATGACTACCAGAAGCTGTGGCCCAGCCAAACAAGGCAGTGATGGACAGCAATAGAACAAATCTGGAGACTAGTGTAAGAATCAATCAGAAATCAATATGCATTTACTGAGAACCTACTGAGTATGCAACTGCCCACAGGGAGCTGCCCACCCTGGGGCAGGCAAGACTGGGCATTCCTGTGGTGTCCTGATTAGCCCTCTGGAATCCTCTTTTGGCTTTTTTAGTTGACTAGTTTACCTACAGGTAAGATGAGCGTTTAGGGGTCCATCTGGCAGCTCTAGTCAGCAACATTAATGTACTATCTATATAATTATTGACACGAGCATCTGAAGGGCATGGAAAATACTCACACTGGAGATAAAAGCCAGCCCACTAGGAAGTACATCAATATCTTCAGAGCCATGTTCTGCAAAAGAAGTGGAGGATCAGAAAGATGCACGTATAAAGACTTAAAAAATAAATCTCACAGTCAAAACTTGGAACTTCTTTTGGAAATTACATTGACTTTTTCAACTATTTACTGAGAAAACTAAATCAACTTTCAGGAATCCCACAGGCATGCTACTCTGCAATAAAACCCGAGTCAGACTTCTCAAACGCTAATTTCTTTTTTTAGAATTCCATTTCAGGAGAAAAAGGCAAATAACTAAAAAATAAACTCATATCCTAGACTTATTCTTTAAATAACAACTTCTAGAGTCTGTCTTGAGAGATTCAGCGTCATTCTCCATACAAGACTGATCTACAGACCAAAGGATAACATTTGGAAAGTCATCATTGTGAAGGTCTCTTAAAGGCCTCTCTGCCAAGCATTTCTCTTCTTCCAACTTGTTGCTGAGGCTTAAAAATCTATCAATATCCAATCATATTGGGAAATTATTGAGTAATTGTACTCTGTTACAAAGTCCATCTTAGGATGGACTATTGAATATAAATGAATTTGAAAGAGTTTAGTCAGATATCTTTCCATGGAGAGCTGGTCTTGAGAATTTTTCCATGGAAAGAGGCATATAATAAGTTATGACTGAGAACAGGATGAAAAAGGGGCTTGCATGACTCCTAGTAGAGAAATAGAGCCACATATGATGTTATCCCAAGCAGGCAGGACTGAGGGTGAAGGCAATGGTTATACAGTGTGGCAAACTGTATTTTATAAATATGGTAGAACCAATATGTATCACAGCCACATGCCCTTCTTAAAATGTGATATTCATACTCTTCTATCAAGAAGTAAGTCTATATTCTCTCCCTTTGAACCTGGGTGGACCTTTGTAACTGCTCTGACAAATAGAATGAGGTGGAAGTGATGCCACATGACATACAAGGTAAAGTCATGGTCATAGCTTCTGCTGGTGCTCTTTCTCTCTCTCTCTCAAGGAATGTACCTCGGGAGCCCGAAATCTGAAGATGAGAAGTCTGGCTACTTTGAAGCTACAGAGGAGACACTATAGACAGACTACTCAAGGTAGAGAGAGGAATTAAGGAGGAGTCTCAGATGACTTCAGCTCCAGCCTTTGAGTCAATCTAGCTGATGCAACTGGAACAGAGGTGAGCTGTCTCCACTAAGCCCTGACAAAATTGCAAATTCATTGTCAGTTTAAGTCACTAAGTTTTGGGGTGGTTTGTTACAGAACTATAGCAATTGGAACATGTCGGAAAATGGTTATCTAGGGTAACGGGTTACCAGTGTGTCAAAAGGCAATGGGGAGGATAGAGGAAATACATAAAAGTGGGACAAAACCAAAGAAAATGCAAATTTGAATCAACAGAATAATGAGCTGCAGGCACTGAAAACTAGAGAACAGGGAAAGATTTAATTATATTCACTATACTGAAGGTTGAAACTAATCCCCAACTAGTAATCTGAAAATTAAATTAATAAGAACTTCCCATTTTCTAAGCATTCCAGTTAATCAAGATTTACCTATATATGATATCTTGATGGCCTCAAAGATTTAGTGCTATTTCCACATGGAGTAACATAGACATTAGGAGAATCTAGCGAATTCAATCAAGCAATTTTAAAAATCACATTGAATAAGGTTGGTTAGTTTTTTGATGTTTCTCCTGCCTCTCTGAACACCTCTTCTTGGTTTTCTCTTGCTCTAATCTCCTTCCCACATCTGTCCCGAATGTGGATATTCTTCAGGCTCTGTCTGTCCTTGGGTCTTTCTCGTGGCAGAGCATCTATTCTACCTGTACAATCTATTCCAGTCCATGGCTTCAGCCTCCACCCACGTGCTCTTGACTTTCCAATCCCTAAGTCAAGTCCAAATCTTTCTCCCAAGTTCCAGACCTCTGTATTCACCTGTATATTGGACATTTCTACCCAGCTTTTTCATTTCTCATGTTTAACAGGTCTCACACTGATCTGAATATTTCCCCCTTGAACCTACTCTACTTTCTATATTTCGATTTCAGTGGATAGCCTTGGAGTTATCTTTGATGCCTTACTTTTCCTTACTCCCCAAATCCAATTGATCACCAGTCATTCAAGCTCTAGAACTCCCTCCTGGATTTCCACAATAGCTTCCTAAGAGGTCAGTTTTGCTCCCTACAACCATTCTCTGCACTGCTGACAGTCATCTTTTTAAACTGCAAAGTTGACTTTGTCACTCCCCTGCTCAAAACCATCCAGAGGTTCAATAGGGCTGGTAATATAAATCCCAAGATCTTTGGCCTGGATCCCAAATCCTTCACATCTTGTCTCCAGTGTCAGTTCTTGTGGTTCCCACTCTCTACTCCGCATTCCAGCTGTGCTGCAGTACTTCTGTTAGTAGTTCCTGAAATGCACCAGACTTGTTCACCTGCATGCCTGAGCACATGCTTCTCCCCCGCTTCTTGGCAACTCACACCTTTCTCACGCCACCCTCACCTCTACTTGGCTGAGTATCACGGGCTCTTAGAGACGAGCTCAGGGGCCAACCCCTCAGCCTTTCCAACCTCTCTTGGTTCCAGCATCCATTTTATGTACTAATATGGTCACCTATGACTATCTCTACCATGACATTTTTCACACTTGGGCTGCAACCTTCTGTTCACTTGTTAATTTCCTACTAGACAGTAAACTTCCTGGGAACAAACTCAGGTTTTATTCAGTACTGTATCCTTGCACCCAATGTAATACCTGCCTTTTCACTATAAAAGCTCCTAATAAAAGCTGGTTGGCTGACTAAATAAGATACCAAGAAACCATTTTAGTTTCGTGAACTTTGTCTTGTCTTGAGGTTAAACTATTGACAAGTGAGTGTTAATTTCTAAGTACAAGATATCCTGAATTTTGTGCTCTCTGCTTTGGTCCTTTCATCTTCCAACCACTAGTTCATGTATTGCCTATGACACCATTAACCTGCCTCAATAATTCACCTACAACAGGAGTAGGCATTTTCCAGAGGTGTTGTGCTTGTTTTTCTTAACTTGCTCCATCTAGAGCAAAGGGAAGCTGGTGCTTTGCACTCATATGTGAAAAAGAAATACCAGCGGATTGCACAGTATTCCATCTCCTTATTCCCCGCCCCCTACCTACACTGCACCCGCATGATGGCCCAGTGCACCTCAACAACAGTAACACCTGTGGGAGTAAGAGCCCCCAGGACACCCTTCCCTGAGTCCTTCCCACATACTCATTAGCCTGTGCACAACTATCATTAAAACCCCACTGCTAAATCTAAAATCAGTCTTATGAATAGATGTCTACTACTTTTTAACCTGTCAACTCTACTACTTGGGTTAACTTCATTTCTTTGGCCTTCAATCATTCCCTACAGGTACCCTGAGAAAGGGTCACACCAAAACATTGCTATCTATTAATATTATCATCATTTCACATCTTGGAGAGAAGTTTCTGACAGCCAACTAAGAAAACAAATGGAACCTACTGTGAAGTAGAAACATATCTTGGAGACACGGGAAGCTGCAGGAGGGGAAAAGGGTTGGAGGGGAAGATAGGAAGCCGTCAAATACAATGGCTGTCTACTTGATAATCTTGCCAAGGGCAAGCCCTAATAAAGCTATTCATATTTCAAGTGGAACTTTGATTAGATGCCACAGGCAGCCAAATAACTTCCTGGTTAAAACAACCCTTGACTCTCAAAGCCTTGGAAAAAAGATAAACTTAATGCAAAAAGATCTATGAGATATGATTTCTAGAGGTTAGAATTTTTTTACCTTTCATCCTTTCTTCCCAGAAGGAGTACTGGGGAAGGAAAACAAAAAGAGGAAGAGCTCCTTCCACATAAAATTCACCACAAAAGTCTAGGTCTTGAGGAAAACACAAATCGGAATTTTTCCCCAGCTCTGTTACTGCCTACCACACCCTGCCTAAAATCCGTTAGTGGTTGCCATTGCTTCATAAAGCCTCTCCCTCATCAAATAGTTGGGTCTTGTGAGTATTACCTCATTAGTGATCTTTACTTAATGGAGTAATATTTTACTCCAGCCTGCCTTGTTTTGGTCAGCCCTATTTATTAATATTTTACCTTCTTGTGTCTCGGATTTTCTATTTTCTGCTGCCGTCATACTCTCCTGAAGCTTCCATAATAAAAATGTGTTGTCAGTAGAAAAGAAAGCCAGTGTTACACAACAGAGAGTACAAAGGCTAGAAGAGAACCATGCTGGCTCATAATCTGGGCCTGTCACCCTCCAGTTCTTGACCTCTGGGCAAGTAACTTCATTCTTCTGTGTGTCAGTTTCCTAATCTGCAAAGACAGCCAGCAGCACCCACCTTACAGGTCAGCTGTGACGATGATGCAGATGTTTGCAATGGACTCAGCAGAACACTCATAGATACTAGGCCTTTGATAAGGCAGTATTATTATATTTATATGTATATCAGTATTGTCCTATTGACAAATGACCACAACCATTCTAATCTGTTTAGTTCTCCAAATATAAAATGCAAATATGCCAATAGCATGAGAAGTAACATGGCATTTTTTTCTTCTGCTCTCAGCCAGCTTCCAACAACGTAAGTCATTCTCTTCAAAATATTTGGAGAATCATAATGTTGCCTATACTTTACAATATTAGTTCTGGTTTTAGCTTCTCAAACCTGTTTGAATGACACAATCTGAGAGTTGGGTTAGACTTTGGCAATCATTTAGTCTAATTACTCCTCAAAAGTACTTGGCAGGCTCATATCTTTTGAAAGATACATGTGTAGTAAATATGAATATTACTCCATAAAACAGTAAACAAATGAGTGAACATTATATTTCCTTATTTTTTAAATCAAATTAAATTTGACCCTGAGCCCACCTTCTACTAAATTGGAGGGAAATTCAATCTGAGTCATTACTGGCTCTCTCTGCCAGGGTTGTGCAAATATTGCAGGTGGTGGGTGTTAAAACCAAGTAGAATATTCAGGGAGGTCCATCTGACCTTTATTCTACACCAGTCACCACTGAATTACTCACTGCTAAGCCCATGTGGTCCTCTTAATTTAGACAATTCTGCCACATCCATGTCACGCATGGGCACATGATCTTTGCTCAGGCTGGGACAAACAGGAGAAAGGATCCAGTCTCCCTAAAGACACCTTGTAGCCATTCCTTCTGAGGTCTTGCTCCTCCTCCACAAAGCTGTCAGGCAGTAGGGCAAGGGTCCCTGTTATTCAAAAAAATCCACATATTCTCATCCCTTCTCCATCAGGATCCCTTGAAGGAGCTCAGGCTTTTGGAAACAAAAGTCAGGAAAAAGTTTGTCTTCAGCTCTTGCTCTCTAGCCGGCGGCACAAACCTCCTCTAAGACTAGGGAGCACAAGGGCCAGGCTACCTTTTTTAGAAATTGAGAGGAAAAAAAGACAGAAAACCAAAATCAAAAATAAACTATGCTGTCATCCTGTCACCTACTAATAAATAAGTCACAGTCCTTGACCCTAGGGAGTTTACGTCCTGATAGTGAGGAAGAGAACACTGTTAGCCATAGAGTAAAGCGTGGGATAGGTGTCATAAGTAAATCAGGGTTTCAGAGTGCTGTGAGAGTTCGGAGGTAGCAGACGACTTTGCAGCTGATTTCAGCAAGCAGAGATGAAAGAATCAGTGGAGGGAATGTCATGAGCAAAGGCGAGAAAGTGAAAGAACACATTCCCAGAACAGCAAACAGAATCTAGCTAGAATTTTTTTTCTAGTAGCAGTGTCGGGGAGAACGGGAGGCTTGGAGCCTCCGAATAAGCAGTGGTGGCAGTAATGAACAGGTGAGATCAGCCCTGTGTGGGGGCACAGAGGAGCCTGATGCCAACGTGTCTTATGTGAAACAATGAGGGACAAGGGGGAAACAAATGTTTCCTGGATTTTGAACTGAGTCTCTTTGAGAATGGGGGTACCATGCATAGGAGAAGTCTAGAGAAGAGTTGGTCATGGGTGGAGGTACGAGGGAGGAAATGACAGAAACATAAAAAGGATTTCGGACTGGAAAAGAAGGCCTGCAGTTTGAGAGGTTGGGGATCTGGCTACGGATTTTTGATTAATTTTTTAAAGACATCTCAGTAGGCTGTGAAGTTCTTGAGAGTAAGGGCTGAGCCATATTCCTCTTGGTACTTGTAGATAAATTTTGAAGGAATTAACACTTGAAGCCAAGAATGTCATCAAGGAAAAGGAAGAAGAAAGCAAGAAGTAAAATAGGCAACAGAAGAAGACAGAGAGAGGAGTGAAATATCACAGAAGGGGCAGGAGGAGAGCTCAGTGAGGGTTGGCTAAGGAATAGTCAATGACATTCTTCAATTGATGGAGAGACATCAGTAAGGAAAAGGACTGAGAAAAAGCCACAGATTTTGACATTTGTGAGACCCCTTGGCAACCTGGGATGAGGTAGCTGGGGTAACGAGGATGGGGCAGAAGCCCCGTAGGAGGGTTTAAGGAGTAGCAGGGAATTAAATGAGTTGGCAGGCTCAGTTAGGTGGATGGTGACCAAGAAATTGTGCTGGCCCCTTTGGTACTGTCACATACGTACCAAGTCCCTCAACAAGGTGGCAGTTCTGGGGTTCTACTGGCTCCACTTCTCGAGATGCATTAACTCTTTGTCTGAGAAGACAAAAACACTGGAGGTCAATGCACAACATGCAAAATCAGTGTCTAAACATGGTCTTTATCACCTTCACATTTGTTAACCCTCTTTCTCATCATTTATGAATGATATAACAAGTAGACATCTCCTTTTACCTACATTTATTTACATAACGTGAACATTATGTGGGCAATATGCCTGTAACAGCTAACCGCCCCCAGTTGTTGTTGAAAGACTAAAATGCGATTACACATGGATAACACATTGCTGTCCAAATAAGTGATACTGTTTAATAGTATGAGTAACTGGATAGTGTTATTAATTTAAATGTACAGAATAGTATTATTTAATTTGCCAAAGTATTGTCTATTATACCTCTGCACTGTGGCTCCCCTTGATCCCTTAAAGTCTTGCCTTTTGACCCTACCCCCTCCCCAAACTGCTTTCCCAAAATTCAACAGGATTTCCTAATAGCTAAACCCTGTAGCTTTTGCTTTTTTCTAAATACCAGTGAAACATTCTTCTAAATACCAGGGGTACCTTTACATTTTTATTAAATTGTATTCAGGAAGACTCTAGACTTAGATTTATCTTACTGTCCCTTTAGAAAAACACACCTTAGATCTACTTTATCATTATTATTTTTTACCATTCTCTCAGTTGGGTGCACTGGGAGCAAATGTTACAATAAACACACTCCAACTGAACTAGAAAGTATTACCTAAAGGCCTTAGGCTCCTCAGTAGATTCAGGATGTGAACCTCTGAGGAGGCCAGCTTCTACCTAGAGAAATAAATAAAAACAACCCAAAGACAACTGAAGCCAACTTTAGATCCACTCAGAAATGCATACCATCACCTAACATGTCTTTTTTCTAGCCCAGTATTGACTTTTGCTGAGATATTTCTGGAATGGCTGTCACCAGATCTGCCACTTCCAGAGGTCGCATACCTACAGAATACCAGTTACCACCTGCAGGGTTCATCTCCTTTCCCTGCTGTCTGACCATTTCTTCCAATCTGGGATGAGTTCTGTAACCCAGTATGCCTCAACATTTAACCGGTCTTGGGCAACGTCTGAGTCAGTTATAAACATCGGGCTGGAAGCCTGGTTCCCTCCCTCAAGTCCAGCGCTTCCAACAGAGTTAGTTTTTTCAGGAGCATAACGCTGAGGGTGACCTGGGAAAGGGGGGCGTGACTTTCAGAAAATAAATCGGGGCATTTCCACACTACCATTTTAGGAAAGGCAAGCAGTCAGCTCACTTTCCACATCAGTGCTTCTCAGGGGATGGATTGCTGGGCGGGATTGAGGAGTGAGGGTCCAAAGCTGCTCCCTGCTGCCCGCCAGGAAGGCGGCACGCGGCAGCCCTTGACCTAACTTGGAAGAGTAGACAAAGAGAGCCAAGGACGCCCCCATCAAGATGCCAACTCACCTAAACGCCACTAATCTCTCCCCGATTAGGGCCAGGGCAGCCCCCAGCAGGGTCAGCACCACCAGCTTCCCCATGGTCTCGAGTGCCCAGCGAAGACGCACGGGCGCAGAGCACTTGTGGAGGGCGCAGCGGGCAGGCTCCCGGCTCCGCCCCCTGACTGGTGCCCGCCCTGCCCGCCAGCACCTTCGGGACGCTGCGGCTGGGGTCAATGTCTCTGGGCCCCGCCCCCTGGCTGGTGCCCGCCCTGCCCACTGGCACCTTCGGGGCGCTGCGACTGTGGTCAGGGTCTCCCGGCCCCGCCCCCGGGGTCAAGGCCACCTTGGCGCTCGTGATTCAAAGCTACCTTTACGCAAGAGATTAAAGGCCACATTTACCTGCGAGGTTGCAGGAAACCTTGACTTGCGGGATTCCTTTTTTCAACGTACAGAGGGAGCCCGGAGCCGTGGGTTAAGTTCTGGTGTTGTCTTGGCAGCATTGGCAAGAACACAGCCGTTGGTGGGACGAAAGAGTGAGTTTGCTTCTAAAAGCTGCGGAATTCTACCTCGGCTCCTCAAATGGACTGAAGAGGATACTGAAGAGGCGGGGGAGCAGGGGTAGCCAGGGTTCAGAGCCGGAAACCGCGTGTTTCTGGAAGACAGGACGGGAGATAAGACGGAGAATTGATCCTGAGACACTGGGAGGAGTGATAAACGAACATAATGGAAGCGAAGAGTTTAACTCACCCTTCGCTAAGATTTGGGGCACAGGACGCTATCTCCGGACCTTCATGCCCTGCCTCAGAATGCTGAATGTGGTGGGTGCCAGTTCAGTTTGTTGACTGGGTGGATTTGTAAATATCAGTATCTGCCTCCATCGTTGATGGGATAAAGAAAACTCGAAAGAAGTGAAGGAAAAGAAATAACTAGAATAGGCGACAAGAAGAAGAGCACAGTAGGGGGGAAGGAAAATAGTTTCTTTGGGAGATTAGACTTTCAAAAGACTCCCTGATCCTTCTTTCTTCTGGGTCTTCAGTTCCTGCCAGGCAAGAATGCACTTTCCCCTCTCATAATGAAGACCAGGTTGGAGGGAGAGGAGCTGAAAATGGGGAAGACTTGCCGAGTTTGAGCAGAGCCAAGTGGCATCTTCAACCATGATCTGTTTTTGTTTACCAAAAAAAAAAAGAAAGAGTTCTACTGAGTTCGACTGAGTAAATAAATGTTGAGAGAACAGGATTTGCCAAACCTGGAGATGTTAAGAAAAGAAAAGATGGTGCCCGACCTATGGAATACATAATTACAGTATGAATACATAATTATGGTATAACAAAGCTTACCACTTACGCAGCACCTGCTACGTGCCTTGCATTGTGCATAGAACTTTGCCTACATTAACTCTTAAATCTCAGAACAACCTCTGAGGTAGGTGGGAACATTATCCCAGTTTTATAGGTGAGAAAACTGAGGCAGAGAGTGACTGTGTAACTTGCCCTAGGTCACACAGCTGGGGAGCTGCAGAGTCAGGCAGTCTGGCTCCAGAGCCTGTGCCCTGACTGGGCTGTCTCCATTAAAGCTGTGGGAGAAGGGCTGTGCTGAAGGAACTCTCTAACATCTAGAGGTGTATTGACAAGATAATTATTTTTAAGATGATTAACTTTAAAAGAGTTCAAGCAGAGGAGGAGTTTAATGCTGTTCTCATGAAGACTTAGAGAGATATGAAGAAGAGAGGAGTGCTCCCAAAGCTGAGGGGCCAGGAGCGATGGTGCAGGTGTGCATGCAGGGTTGGGGCCCAAGATGCCTGGTTTTGGATCCAGCTTGGATAAGGTGCTCAACTTTCTTAGGCTACAGATTCCTCTTCAGTAAAAGAACATCCGCCTGGTAAGTCGCTTAAAATCAAATGTTATGATGAGTGCAAAGTGCTCAGTACTGTATTTGGTACATTGTAAGAAGTCAGTAAATGTTAACCATCAATTAAATCTGAACCTCCATGTGAGAGTGTAGGCTCATTGTGGGGAGACACCCCCATCCCAGTGATCACCGGGTCTTCCAGTGCCAGCCACAGAACTTTGTTAAGAGTTGCTCTGTAAGAATTGATTAGATGGATTGGTGTAAGATGATGTGGGAGAAGGAAAAACTGGGAGAATAAAAATAAACGGAGTAGATGATGAAATAGTAATAATTGTCCTAGGTGCTAAGCATTTTGCATGCTTTATCACGTTGCTTCTTATTATCCTTACTTTACAAATAAGGACAGTGAGGCTTAGAGAGGTTAAGTAATAAATTGCTTATGGTTACATAACTAAGAAGCGTCACACTCCATTTGGACTGAGGTCAACTGACTCTAAAGTACACGTTCCTTATCACTGCATTCGCTGCCTCCCAGCACAGCATGAAGGGGGGGTAGGAAAGAGGCATATTCTTGGGCAGTTGATTACAGGTGCTGTGTCATCTATAATTTGTTTAAAAATTCTTCACTTTAGGCAGAAATGCGTGTGTGTGTGTATGTGTGTGTACATTAACCTTAAACTTTATTGGTGCTTACTTATCAGTTGAATACCATAATCAGTAAATTAAATCCCTAACCTGGTCTGTTAGCATTAAAGAATTCCAAACTTTGGAGACGACTATATCAAGTGTCACCATCAAAATCTGCACCTGGAGAGTTCACTCATCAGCTCCAGAGATACTAGAGGTAATCATTTGTGGTGAAGCCAGTTTTGTCCAAAATATGTGGATTAGCAAGACATTTTGTGTAAGCAGCTCCAGTTCTGCCTAGTCTAAGAACCAGAACAAGGAAGTCAGCATTCTCACACCAATGGAATGAGTTCTTGGCTGTCTTAGTCCAATTGGGCTGCTATAACAAAAAATCATAAGTTGAGTGGCGTATAAACAACAAACATTTATTTTTCACAGTTCTGGAGACTGTGAAGTCCAGGATCAAGGCACCCGCAGAATCAGCATCAGGTGAGAGCCCGCTTCTTAGACTGCTATCTCTTTGCTGTGGCCTAACATGGTGGAAGGGGCAAGGGAGCTCTGTAGGGTCTTTTTTATAAGGGCACTAGTCTCGTTCATGAGAGCTCCACCCTTATAACCTCATCACCTCCCAAAGGCTCCACCTCCTCATACCATCAGGATTAGGATTTCAACATGTGAATTTTGGGGGGACACAAATGCTTAAACCATAGCACTGGCTCTAGAATACTGTTCTGTGCTGTGTTCACACTATTGACTAAGGAAGATTCTGCTTTCTGCTCTAGAGGTAAAGTGACTCTTTCCTTTAGAATTTTGTCTCAGACTGAATATTTTTGTCATGTGTTGTTGAAATACAGGGATTGTTGAAATACGGAGGACAGAGCTGGGACTTCACTGAGTTTATAGAAAGACAGATCATAGGAGGATTTTCATGCCGCCTTGATAATAAACATTTGTGTGTGACAGATTTGGGTTTGAGCCTTGTGTTTACTGAATCATACCACCCAGCACGTGATGCTGATGCTACTGGTCCAGAGACCACACTTTGAGAACCACTGGGCTGGAGCATCTAGAGCATCACTGAATCTAGAGAGGAGGGCAGGGCCTTCTAGGCCAAGTTAAGAAACTTAAATTACATCCTAGGCGGCATTGGGAAGTCACTGGAGTGACACGACTCAGTAGATGTTTTAGAAACATCGCTCCCCAACGATAAGAACAGATTAAGGAGGGGGTAGGGGGCCGGCCTACCCTGGAGGGAGGGAGAATAGGTGGAGGCCTTTGTTACAGTAGTCTGGGCGAGATACATGATGGTAATTGGAGAAGCAGTGTGGATTAATTGTTTTCCACTGTCCTCATAACTGTGTGGATTTAAGAAATATTTAGTGTGGGAGGGGACTGACAGTATTGGCAGTTGGTTGGATGTGGGCAGAGGGATGGGTGGTGAGGGAGAGGGACACTTTACGGAAGGTGCCTAGGCTTGGAGAATCTGGTAGAGAGGGCTGTGTTCATGGATGTGGGGACCAGAGAGCAGGAGCCATATAGATAAAAAACAGAGAGTCCATTACGTGATTTCCATTATGATATTATAGGAAAAATCTTTGAGTTTTCTTTCAAGTGGAGTGACAAAAGTCATGTTTATTGTGATTATTATCTTCAGGCTCTGAATTGAGTCCATGCAATAAATTTATTTGTTTATTGTTACATTAGCTCTTTCTTAAGAAAAATCTGAGTAATGTCTCCTTCAATTCAATACTACAGGTGGTGGGACAGCTGGGTTCCATGATTTTGAAAGTTTGAAAACTTGTGTACTCCTGTCTGTTCTAATGAGAAACGTCATTTCCTTGTGCTTTCAAACACTTTCAAGAATTGCATAACTGATGAGTTATACTTAAGAACTGGCAAAATAATTCCATCATTTACACATAAAGAACACCTAGAAATTGATAAGAAAAGGCGAACATCCTAAAAGAAAAATAAAAAGACAAGAAAGTTCACGTAAAAATAAATACAATCTCGTTAAGTATCTGCAAGTGTGCTTAAAGTCACTTGCAACAAGAGAATGAAACTTAAAACACATTGGGATATCATTTTTTATACGATTTGCAAAAATTTGAAAGTTTGACAACAAAACCTGTTGGTGAAGCTTGAGGAAATTTTTACACATGAAAAAAATGTTACAGTTCCTATAGTGGGTTACAAAAATATCTGTCAAACTTACAAATGCACTTACCCTTTTTTTTTTTGTGAGGGAGATCAGCCCTGAGCTAACGTCTGATGCCAATCCTCCTCTTTTTGCTGAGGAAGACTGGCCCTGTGCTAACATCTGTGCCCATCTTCCTCTACTTTATATGGGATGCTGCCACAGCATGGCTTGACAAGCAATGTGTAGGTGCACGCCGGGAATCTGAACTGGCGGGCTCCAGGCCGCCAAAGCGGAGCACACTTACTTACCCACTGCGCCACCGGGCTGGCCCCTGCACTTACCCTTTGACTCGGCTTTTACCCCTTTTGATTCACTTTTAGGAATTTATTCCACACATACGCCTGCACATGCACAGGATTAATGATTGTAGTGCTGTAGGTAATAGCAAATAATTGCACTGGTTAATAAACTAGAAGATACTAGGCAGCTATAAAAAAGAATTAGTGAAGTTCTCTTTGTAA